GATAATAAAAACCTGGCTGTAGTGAAAAAAAGGCACAGGATTTGACTTCAAATCCCGGCTCTACTGCTTACTAGCTATGTGCTCTTGGGTAAGTCAGTAAATTTCTCTCAGCCTCAATTCCTCAACTACAAAATGAAGGTATAGGACCAGATGGCTTCTCAGATCTCTTTCAGTTCTAGAGCTATGATGCTATAATCCCTTGAATGTGATAGAATTTGTCAAAGCTTATGTTCTAGTGATATAACTTTTGAGAACTATGGTCGTCTCCACACTTCACTGAAGCATTGGAGCAGAAGGTTAACTGTTATACATACAAGGGTGGAGGAGAATCAGGACTGTGCCTATGGTACAGGCCTCTTTGTCCAATGACAGAGTTTCATTCTCTACATAATGGGGGGACACTTTTGCTTTCCTTGGGCATTCAGCCAATAAGACTATGCCTATGGCAGCTGGGCTCTGTGTGTGTGTGTGTGTGTGTGTGTGTGTGTGTGTGTGTGTGTTTTGCACATACATACATGTTTAATAGTAGCTATTTAGAAATTTATAGGCTTCAAATGATTTAGAACTAGAAGTCTTCTGTTCAACTTTCTCATTTTGCAGATGAGGAAACAGGCTCAAGGAGAGAAAGCGATTTCCTCAAGGTCACTCCTAAAAAAAAAAACAAAACAGTCTTGGGTTTGAGTGCCAAATATTGCTCCAAATTTAATGCTCTTTTGATGTAGTCAATGATGGTTGATATTCAGCTATTATTTCTTAGCACAAACTTCAGAAACCTAGATGAAGGGTTTGCCATAAAATATGTGTCAGAGTTCTAATTTATTTAGAACTCTTTATTTACGCATTCACTTACATAGCATATACGACCTTACCAGCTATGCCTAGTGCCATTTTAAATTAATATCACAAAAACCACATATAGTGAGCTTTTCTTTTCTTTTCATAGATTAGCAAAATAATGATTTGAGGAAGTACTGTGAGGAAGTTATGCTGGGAACAATAAGTGGAAATTGCAGATAGGCACGTTGAAACTCAATGTAAGGAAGCACTGCCTAACAATTAGAACGGAGTTAAAATCAAATATTCTGGCCATCACTAGTGATGGTGAAGACATGGCAATTTTCACAGAAATTCAGAATCTTCAAGTTAGAAGGGACCAGTGTTGTTACCAGGTACTGGAAAGTCCAGAATTTTAAGAATACCTGGAAAGATCAAGCTGTGTGAATTGACATAGTACTTTTTTTTTTAACCCATCAAGAAGATAGAGAGAGTGGATTAATTTTTTTTTATTTCAAAGTAAACATTTTTGTATCAATTGATGTTCCTGGACCTTCCAAGAATATATTTTTATGACATCTCCAACAAGTGCTCATCCAGGTTCTACTTGAAGCTTTCCAGCGAGAGGGAATCCATTTCCTTCTCAAGTAACCTGGTTCACTTTTGGAAAGATGGAATTATGGACTGTCCTTCCTAAAATGCTTCCTTTTACTCAGAGTTCAAGTAGGCAGGCAACCTGATATCAGGGGGAAAATATTGGCTGTGGAGTCAGAGACCTGGGTTCAAATCTCCATGTGACCTTGGTTCAGTCATTAAATCTCCATTTGCCTCAGTTTCCTTAAGTGTGAGATAAGGATAATAATAGCACTTACCTCATTGGCCTTTTTTAGGGTAAAATGTCATAACATTTGTAAAGTGCTTAGGACACAATTGGTATTTACTAGAGGTTTGTTTCTTTCCCCACTTAATCTCACTAGGCCTCAGGTTCCCTATCTGTAAAATGAGAGGGTGTGGTTGGATTGCTTCTGAAGTCCTTTCTAGCTCTATTGCTATGATCCTGTGACCCAAAAGATAACATCCCTCTTTTACACCCAAGTCCTTCAAATACTCAAAAACAGTTCTCATATCACTCTATGTCTTTTCTTCTCCAAGCTACACATCTTAAGCAGTTGGTTTGTGTTTGTTTGTTTGTTTGTTTGTTTTTAGTTTATTCTCATGTAGCATGCTTTTCAGACCGCTCACCACCCTGGCTGCCCTCTATGATCCTTCTAAAATAAGTTGTCAAGAGCTAAACATAATACTCTGAATGTATCTCCCTGGGGTGGGGGATGGATCTTGCAAGACTATCATTTCCATCATTCTGGAATCGTGTTCTGTCATAAGTTTCTTCCTCCAATGAGGTCTGGAGAATCCCTTGTCAGGAAGGGTTAAGGTTAGCATTCACGTTAGGGACAGGTTGGACCATATCAATGATCCAAGTCAATGAGATTCTGTGAAGTAGGAACAGCACTCAAGAAAATGGAGTTAAGACAATGAACCTGGCCGTCATTTCGTCTTTTTATTCTATCCCTTTATATGTGAGAAGGGGCAAACATTTTAAGGATCCTTGAAAAGGTATATTTTTATGTAGGCTAAGCATGCCCATGAAATCTTATATAGAATGTTAATTTATTTCCATACTATGTTTCATAAACAATTAAAATTTATAAATCTTGCAAAGTCAGCCTAGTAATTTTTCATATGAGCATATTCTGAACTCATGGGATCTAAATTAATGACACTTTACTGTATTTTTTAAAATTCCTTATTTAAGTACTTAAATATAACTGTAGTAAATCCTTCAAAAACAAATGAGTAAAGAGCTATTGTTTATGGCCTTTTGCCTGGGATTGTCCCTACGTAAGAGTTAATATAGTGACATAAAAATCTTGGCATTCATTACACATATCTGTACTGCTTATGTGTTAAAATTATACCTAGAAATCCCACGAAAAAATGATCCACAGCAGATCCTTGGTAACTTAGCACAATAACCATAGATTAATAATCAGCCTGAAGGAACCTGAGGTCATTTTTCAAAATTCAACTAGAAATTTTTCATTCAATCTGAATAGATAATTGTTAAATTGTTAAAAATTGTTAAAAAAAATGTTCAGCTAACAAGCGTTTATTTTTTTTTCTCCCTCCTACTTCTTCTTCTCCTAGGTGATGATAGAAAAAATGATTAAATTTTGCTTTTCCACCATATACATAAATTTTCCCCTTTTAATATTCATATTCTAATATAGTAAGAAGCAGTTTGGTATGTGGGATAGAAAGCCCCTGAGCCAGAAAGACCCAGGCTAGCGTTCTCTTACATACATTGTATATATGATCCTGAAGCATTCATTAAACTTTCAGTATCTCAGTCAGCAGTTCTCTAAGACTATAAATTGCAGTGCATTTGCCGATCTGAATTGGGAGAGTTTCCTCACCAGGAGGATTCTATGTCGCTGAAATCACAGGTATAGACCAATAAAGCATCTAATAAAGTGTCAGAAATTTAAATCTGAGAATGAGAAGCAAATTTTGCAAAGGGTTCCTCCTCCAAGCTATCTCTGGCTCAAACCCACTTGAAAAGCCCTGTGGGGGAGGAATGCCCAGGTTTGGGGCATCCCTAAAGATAGGGGTTGTGCTTGGGCAGTAGTCACATCACACCTAAACTCTAATGTACAAGAAGCCTGCAAACTTCTAGGGCAAAACAGTGGACATACACAGGGAAGATCACACTCAAGGGGCAAAGGGAAGCTGTCCAGTGTGCTCACAATACCCTCTAGGTTGGAAAAAAAAAAGAGTTTCTTTCTCAGGCCAATAATGATTCTCCCTTTAGCTGAAGTGGAAGGGCACCCTGTGAAAGAGACAGGTCAAGTCTCCACCATCACCTTGACTATTCAAAGTGACCTCTCAGACACTAAAGGACATAGCTCATGAACCAAGGGGCTTTGGAGTAGCAATGTCCTCCCAGACCACCAGGCCTTCTTCCAGCCCAGTCCCTGCAGCCCATCACTGAAGGGAGAAACCACTGTGGAAAAGGGGTTCACCTGCCTTACCACTAACAACAATGGCCAGATGCCACCAATAAGTGGATCAGCACAGGAGCTCAGGGAGAAACAGAAGGGAGAAAGGTAGGCTTTGCATCTGTTTTGCTTTGAGCTGTGCTTTGCAGTGAGTAGAGGCCTGGTGCTTATTGGGCAAAGCAGAATCTCTGCTTGTGATTGGTGGCTAATAAACATTTTCAAATGGCCATTTCTTCAATCAGCTTTCATAGATAACAGTGAAATATGGTATATGGGCAAACGTTGCATAGATTTTTGTAGATTCTGTGAATATATTCAAGGAGATCAGCAGTTCACATATAGATACTTGCTTTATTCTTTAATGTAGTCCAAATTTTTATAATTATTTAGGTTGTTGCATTCTCCATTATGTAAATACTTCAAGACTCTAGGATCTAGTTCATCAGTATGAGTATTCTCTTTATGCAAGCAAATTTCTGATCCCATCAATCCTTCAGTAGATATCTTTTATAACCTCCTTTGGGTAGTAAAAAAAAAAATCATTGAGTCTTATTTCTTTGTCCCTATAAACTATCAAAATGTTCCAGAAATTTCCATATTTTGTTAAATAGTAGATCAAAGAATATAGTCGGTCAGTGTTAAAATGATAACATATAAAAGCCCCCCAAAATTCAGAACTACAAAAAGTAGAAAATCATAGGTGGGAAAAATATCACAATCTCATGTGTGTGGGACAAGTGAAAGTTTCTCATGTGAAATGGAAGCTATGCCCCAAAATTTAGTTAAGGCTTTAGCATTAGCTGGGCCTAAGTTTCGTTTTCCTATAAGTCATGTGATCAGGTCATACATCTGTTGCCCACCCCCTCCCTTGTTTTGTAACCACCACCCAAGCCTTATCTTTGCCAAATAAGGCAATCTTCTAGCTCCCAAGCTTGTTTTGGGTAAAACGTTATCTCTTAGTTTCTGGGTAGAATGTAAGGTCTCTTACCTTAACCAGTGGGGATAAAGAGATTCAGGAGGGTGGGGTTTTCTTAGAATTGTTTTGTTTAGGGGGATATAACTGCTTGCTTGCTGCTTGTATCCTGCCTCCCTACTCTAGTCCACCCTGGGTAGGTGATGCCCAATTCTTGCGCGAGACTTGCTAGAATAAAACTTCTGTTTCTACTGAGAGAAACCTCTGAATTTTTATTTGGGTAAGTGGTCTCAATCCCACTCACATGTGACAGTCTACCATGTGTGCTGAATGCAAAATCTCATACAACTGTAGTACATTGACCCTGCATCCTGATTTGGGATTGCACAAATATGATCACCAATGATACTTTGTACAGGTTTTGCTGGGTATCTACTCTAATAGCTCTAAAAAATTGGCATTTTGTGCATCTTTTTTTCTTTTTTATTGTTATGAACTTGACAAACCTCAACAAACATAATTATTTCCACATACAGAGAACAGAAAAAGAACTATGTATAAAATCATAATTCTAAACTAGAAGATTTTTTAAAAGTGTGTGATAATTTAGCACTGACCTGCTGCTGGCATCTTTTTAGACAGCTTTCAGCTCTCTTCTGTGAATTATTTTAAATGTTTCATTTGTACTCTTTACCTTCTTTTAAAAATTTTTGGGTATCACTATCACTGCCCTACTTCACCCCTCATCCCTCTTCCTCCCCACCCCACCCCCAAAGGAAAAAGTCTTTTGTTAACTAATAAGTAGAGACTAGCTAAACAAATCCACATAACGGTCATGTCTGAACATCTTTGTCTCATTCTGCCGCTCTAGTCTATCAGCTTTCTGTACCACCGTGGGAAGCATGATTCATCTTCAGTCTTCTAGGGTTGTGGCTGGTGATTCTATTTATCAGAGTTCTTAAATCTTTCAGAGTTGTTTCCATTTAAAAGGTTGTAATTATAGAAATTTGTCTCCTGGTTCTACTCATTTCCCTGTATCAGTTCACATAAATCTTCTCAGGTTTCTCTGAATCTGTGCCTTTCATCATTTCTTATGTAATGTACCATTACATTTGTATACTATAATTTGTTCAACCCTTCCCAGGTTGAGAAGAACCTCCTTTGTTTCTTATTCTTTTGCTAAAACAAAAAGGACTGCTCTAAATATATTTGTATGTATAGGTTCTTTTCCTTTGTCTTTCATCTCTTTGGAGTATTTGCCTAACATTTGTTATTGATGGGTCAAAGTATATTCACAGTTCTGCTATGGTTCCAAATTGCTTGTGAGAATGACTTACCAACTCACAGCTTTACCAATACTGCATTAGTGTACTGTCCTTTCACATCCCCTCCAACAAGTAATTTTCCTTTTTTGATCATCTTTGCCAATCTGATGGGCGATGTTGAACCTCAAAGTTCTTTTAATATGCATTTTCTTACTATTAGAGATTTGGAAAATTTCTTCATGTGGCTGCTGATATTTTGTATATTATTATATTGGATCTGTGGGCACAGATTGGGAGTGAACCTGAAATAATGTCACTCTGACACTATAGTAGGATCTTGGATTCAGGCCACAGGCGAGTGACCAGAGCAAGGACTCAATGATTCTAAGATTATGGGTAACAAAAAAAAATACCTTTTTATTATTTTCCTTCATGTTATAGCTCTTTTGTATCTCCACATACTTCTAAAAATCTCATCTCATTCTATAAAATATTTATTTTGCAGTTTGATGTAGCACTGAATCTTTAGGGTAGTAGGTAGCATTGACATCAGGGTAGTCAAGTATTACCATGATCCACCTTTGACATGAGCACTGAACATTGTTGCAGGTATTTAAATGGTTCTTCATTTTTTAAAGAACTCTGTTTTATAATTGAATCTATGTAGGTACTGAGTGCGGTTTGGTAGATTGACTCTCAAATATTTTGTGCATCTTGTCATTATTTTGAATGGCACTTCCTTTTCTAGTATTGCCTCCTGCATTTTATTAGAACTAGTCAGAAATACTTTTGATTTTGTGAGGGAGATATTTTTAGATCACAACTTTGCTAAAGCTATTAATTGTCTCAATTAGTTTTTGGCTAATTATCTAGGATTTTCTAAATAAGCTATCATGTTACCAGCAAATAGGGAGAGTTTGATCTCCTCTGGCTTATTTTGATGCTTTTATTGTCTTATTACTGTTGTTAGCATCCCTATATCAAATAATAGTGAAAAGCGTGGGCATCTTTGCTTTGTGATGTATCCACTGAGAATACGTCTAATGTTTTACCTTTAGATACAGCACTTGATTCTGGAACTAGTTTGACACTTTATCATATTTAAAAAAAACAAAACCCTTCTTGGGCACAAACTTGGAAGAGTGTTTAATGCAACAAGAATTATATTTTCAGAGGCTTTTTACATATGCATTGAAGTAATAATTTGATTTTTGATGTAATTTTTCTAAATACTATTTCAATAGATTTTTAAATATTATAACATCTTTGTATGCTAACTTGATCACAACATGGTCTTTTCTGTAAGATTTTACTTAAGTTTTTGAGGTAATATTCATTAATAAAATTAGTCTGTCATTTTCTTTCTATGCTTTGTCCTTCCATTGTTTGGGGGTTAGTACTCTTTGTCTCATGGAATTTGATAAATTGCTTTCTTTCACAGTTGTTTTTTTTTTTAATGAGTATCACTAGTTCTTTATAAGTTTGTTAGAATTTTCCTGTAAATATATCAAGACAAGAGTTTCCCCTTTAGTAGTTTCTTTATACTTTATTGTATTTCTTTTTCTCAGATTGGATCATTTAAGATCTTTATTTGGTGCTCTTTTAATCAAGGTTTTAATATTTTTGAGGTATACTTCTATTTCTTTTGTTTTCTCAATTTTATTGTCATAAAATTGTGTGTTATATTGTGATAATTTAAAAATCTTTTTTCTAGTTTTATTGTGATTTGACCTTACCCATAGTTTATTTCGTTAATTTGAGTTTCTGTCTTGTCATTTTTAATCACATTGGCTAAAGGTTTATTGGCAGCAGGTGGTGCAGAGGACAGAGTACCAGGACCGGAGTCAGGAAGACTCATCTTCCCGAAGTCAAATTAGGCCTTAGGCACTCTTACAAGCTAGTGATCCTGGACAGGTCACTTAACCTTTTTGCCTCAGTTTCTCATTTGTAAAATGAGCTGGAGAAGGAAATGGCAAACCACTCCAGTATCTCTGCCAAGAAAATCCCAAATGGGGTCATGAAGAGTCAAACATGACTGAACAACAACAACAACTAAGATTTATTACTTTTGTCAGTCATCAGAGAATTAGTTCTTAGTTTTGTTTATCAGTTCCATAGTCTTTTGCACTTCCAATTTACTTATTTCTCTTCTAATTTGCAAGAATTTTGTTTTGTTTTAGGGGATTCTAATTTTTAAAATATATAAATATATATGCATTCATTCCATTAATTCTTTTCTATTTTGTTAATATATGTTTTTAGGGATATGTTTTTTTTCCTTTGAGAACTGATTTAGCTGCATCCCAGAAATTTTTGTATGTTAGGTCTGACCATGTCACCTCCCTACTCAATATACTTCAGGACAAAGATGATAGAAATAAACAATGACTGTTGTTGGAGGGGATATAGGAAGGCAGTCAAGTTAATGCATTGTTGGTAGAACTATAAATTGGTCTGGTTATGTGAGAAGGCAGTTTGAGACAATATCTCCCAAAGCCACTCCACTGTACATACCCCTTGGCCCAGCAATACCACCAGTAGGTATATACTTCAAAGAGATCAAAGAAAGATGGGAAGAACTAGAAGAGTCCCTCCACAAAATGGTAAATCCTTTATTTTGAAATTTGCTATATAATTTTTGTCTATTCATGTTTTTTTAAGACACTCAGTATACTTAAATTCTCTCTCTTCATCTTGTTTTCCAGGCCACTTGATTTTTGTTGATAGATACCTTATATGTTTAAAAATACTTTTTCAGTCTTTGATTTTGTTATATTTCTTATTGTCTCCTGAAGTCATTGAGTTCTGTTCATTCCATTCTCATTTTCAGAAACGCTACTATTTGGACAAGGTTTTTTAACCTTCTGTCCTCCGCTATTTATTATCCTTTGAACTCTTTACTTCAGCGTTCTTATTTCGTTTATAATTTTGCTTTTAAACTCTCGGTTTATTTCTCCTAACTCCTCTTAAAGTGCTTGTCACCAAGCCATTTTTAGTCCCTGAGGATTTGCTTGTATTATTGTGAAGTCACTTCTGGGTTTAATTTTGGGTATTCCTTGACCTACAGTATTTCTTGGTTGTGTTTTGTTACTTCTTCTGTTTATTCATGTCCAATCTTAGTTCTCGTTTTGGGACTTTGTGCCAGGGCCAGACTTTTGGATTTTTGTTAGAGTGTAAGTGTGAGATTGGGGTCCTCTAAGACCTTTCAAATTGCTATATTAGCCAGAAGTTGATTTCCCATTTTTTTTCCAGTTGGTACGTTAAAAAAAAGTTCAGTTGTTACTTTAAAAATTAATTTTATTTAAATTTTAATTTTTAGTTGGTTAGATGAAAAAAATAATTGAGTATAACTGTTGAGTATAACAAAATAATTGAGTACAACATTCAATATATGCTCACCTTAAAAAATTTAAAAATCAATTCCTAGGTACACAGCTCAAAGAAATTGGCTATGCATGCCTATGATGATCACCATACCCATCCTACATCTTACTTCCATATCAAATAGAAAATATGATAAACGAGTCTGTCCTGATGTGCTAAGGAATGGGTCTAGAGTAAATGACCTGAGCAAAAGATGGTGACTTTTTAGAGATATATACCACACAAACTTTGTGTAGCCAAAGTAAAATTACAATAATGATAGAAATTATAAGCAAATAGCAAAGGAGGATTATGCCACTGGAAAGTCAGAAAGGAATTCATCTAGTTTCAGGCTAGGTGTTGGCAAGGGTTGTATTGACTAATATATGCAGGGGGTGGGAAAGAGGGACAAAGAAAGAACTTAATTTCTATTTTTGGGCAGGAAAGGATGGAACAAAAATGTATAATCTAGAATTGAAATGCAATGTAATTCAAGAGATTAAAAAAAAACACTTAGGTATCCTTATTGAAGTCAAGTAATTGGCCCAAATGACTGAAATCCTTGAATAGTAGAACTGGGTCTGAGCCACTAGTTAGTGATAATTGAAAAGTCATAGAGAATAGTGTTTGAGAGGGGCAAACATTTCTAGATTTTCAAAACAAAGAAGAGAATGAGATCTGCAAACTCTAGGCCAGTGAACTTCAGTTCATGCACTGGGAATATTAAAGACATAATCAATGAGCTCCTAATGAACCTGGAGGTCTCTATTCTTTCTTTGGCTGATCACTTCTCAGGTACATTATAGTTGGCACTCTTTTCCAGATATGAGTTGGATGAAAGGATTCTGGGAGTCCCTTTCATCTCTTAAATTTTGTGATTCTGTGGTACTTTGCTGTCTTATCATTATTCCCATTCTGAAGACAGGAAATCTCATTATGTTAGTGGATGCAGCTGAAAAATCTTCAGGAAGGGTTATTGGGAGGCAATCCTCATGTATGGAATAGGCTGGTATTCTAGATCTGGGAGAAATTGGAGATTAAATTCTTCAATGCCAGAGGGTTAGACCTATGATGAACAGGAAAGCTTACTTTCTCTAAGTTGGGATAAAGGTTTACCATTTTGTGGAGGGACTCTTCCAGTTCTTCCCATCTTTCTTTGATCTCTTTGAAGTATATGCCCACAGGTGGTATTGCTGGGCCCAGGGGTCTACACAGTGTAGTGACTTTGGGAGATATAGTTTCAAATTGCCTACTCATATAAGCAGACCAATTTATAGTTCTACCAACAATGCATTCACTTGCCTGCCTTCCTATATACCCTCCAACAACAGTAGTTATTCATTTTTATCATCTTTGTCCTGAAGTATATTGAGTAGGGAGGTGACATGGTCAGACCTACACTTTAGGAAAATCATATTGCTAAATGGATGATGAGTTGGAGTAGGAAGAGATTTGAGACATAGAGACCAATGGGAAGCCTATTAGAGTTGTACAAATGTGAGGTGATGAGGATTAGTGGTTGTGTGAGTGGAGAGAAGAGGGTGCATGCAAGAGGTATTGGGAAAGTAGAAATAACAAGATTTGACAACACATTGGATATATGGAAGGAGTAAGAATGAGGAGTTGAGGTGATATTGAGGCTGTGAGCCTAGGTAATTGTGAGAATGGTGGTGCCTTTGGAGATGATAGGAAAGATGGGAAGGGGAAAAAGTTTCTGTGAAAGGGAAAGCTAATGAGTCAGTTTTGATATGTTGAGCTTGAGATCTTTACAGGGACATATTTTTTGAGATGTCCAAAAGGCAGTTGCTGATATGAGACAGGAACTGGGGATAGAGAGGAGGACTCGAAATATCTATTTAGGAATCATCTGCATGGAGAAGATATTTGAATCTATAGTTATGAGATCACCAAACAAGACGATATAGATGAAGCAGGCAAGAGGTATGAGGACAGACTCTTGGGGAACTGCTTCTTGATAGTGGGGGACAGGGTGGATGGCAATAGGGAAAATGGTAATGTGCTAGTGCTGCCTGGGCCCTAATGTCCTGGACTTGGGCAGAAGATAGGATAGCTAGATGGCATGACTCCTCTCTCCTAGATGCCATTTGCATGGGTGGTGACATGTATCCAAGAATAAATCTAAAGTTAGTCTGAAGTCATCAGCTCCAACTCTGAAGATCCTTAAAGTTATCTCAGTGAAATGACCGCAATACCTGTAGGTCCTCTAGAGCAAGGCTTCTTAAACTTTTTCCACTCACAACTCCTTTTTGCATTTCAGCAGCTTTCACTGACTTGGCATTGCATGGCCTGAGGGCAAGCACAGTGCAAAATGTGCATGCTTTGTGTTCAAAACCAAGGCTGAAGTGAAATTGGGTGATGCGCCCTGGGCAAGCAGTGCCAGAAGCACCTCGGATTCGTTATGTGTTTGATTTTCCATTAATTTTTGGTCGGTGCAGTTCAGGAACCTTTTACTGTTGCCAAATTTTTTGTGATCCCATGTGGAGTTGCAACCCACAGTTTAAGAAGTGCTGCTCACAAGCACCCCAAAATTGGAATGTCTCATCTGGCCAAAATGCCGTCTACTTTTTGAGTTTGTAGCCATATGAGTAAATACTGTACAGTGTGAGAAAACCTTCTGGGACCATGTGTGGAAAACATTTGCTTCATAGACGTGACCTTAATGTTTTAGAATCAAGATAAGATAATAGTCGCACTAAATAGGGTCTTATGAGTATTATGGAAAGAGGGAAGATAACCTTGACCCCAAATGATACAAGGCTTGAAACTGAAGACAGGCTAGATAAGGAAAACATTTTGTTCATAGTTTATTTTAAGCTCTTGTTTTTAGGTTTATATTTTAAAGATTAGAAAGTGACCAATGAATGTATAGTTCAGATTGATTAGAAGTAATGCAGGAAGGCTAGAATGAAATTTGAATGGAACATTAAAAATTATTTTCAAAAAACAATGCATCTGACCCCAGATTTTTTTTTCAATTTGAGTTGATAAGGATGTTACATCATGATAGGCGTGTCGTAAAAACAATAACCACGAACCAAAGACATCAATACTGTCATCATATCTTGCTCACATTTTTTGTAAAAGCCTTCTAACTCATTTCCCTGTTTTGAATCTCTCCTCAGTCCAGTCCATCCTCCAAAGAGCTGCCAAAGTGGCTTTTCCTTAAGCATATATTTAACTCTGCCACTGCCCTACTTAATACTCTTTAGTGGTCCCTATTGTGTCTTAAGATCAAATATAAATTCCCAAGTTTGGCTTTTAGAGCCCTTTGAAACCCGGCACCTTGTTATCATTCCAGCTGCATTGGTCATGATTTCTTTTCTACTTTCTGTGATTTGAATGTGACTTGAATACTGTGATTTTTGATTCAGTGTTAGACTAGCTCCACAACATAGAGTGGGCACATTTTCATGGAGCCAGGTCATGAGGAAGTGGTTCCAGGGTCATCAGGCCAATGCAAAAGTGTTCATTTGCCCCCTTGGGTAAGTCATACTATACTCCTATTTCATATCCTTTTTCCCTCTAGAGAAAGGAGAGGGTTTTTTCCCACATGCACTAGAATTACGGTAGATTTTTTTTTAAAGTTTTTTTAATGTGAAGCCCGAGAACCTATTTTTTAATATTTAATAACTGTTCTACTGCAGTAATTTCCTTTATAATCCTGTGTATTTTATTTTATTCATTTTAAAACTATTCTGAGAAGGGGGCCATAGGCTTCACAAACTGCCCAAGGGACCCAGGACACACAACAATGGTTGAGCACTTCTGCTGTAGAAGGAACCAAATTTGAGATAAGCTCACTGTCGGTGCTTTCTCTGTCATCAGTGGGTTCTTGACCAGCACCAGTCATTATACTGGTTTCAGCTGCCTGGTCCGCTTCCTTCTGCTCCAGGGTTGTCAAAAGGCATTCTGATTGTTTCACTGTACTGTCCCAGGCTTCAGAACAGTCCTGTTTCATAGCTGTGACCTTCCAGTAATTTAACATTAACCCTCTGATTACATCATGCCTGAGAAATTTGACCTTCCTGGCCCAGTCCCTCCCCCCCAGTCCCCAACCAGTTGGCAGTAGGAGGTTTGTTATGTCCATTAAACAAATATATAGCTTCCCTTATAGGCAGGCAATGGAAAGACAGGGTGCAATGGAGGTTAAACTATGATTAATGAATATGTTTGTCTTTTGAGTCAAGACAAAATGCCCGATATGAATATGCTGTAAATCATAAACCAGAAGCATAGAACTATGCGAACCCTATAGCGAACCTATACGTGAAACCTATCCCCTCATGGTCACTACACCTGTATTGTCACCAGAAGGTGCCATTGTTATTCAGAGCAGTGGCATAAAGGGCAGACACTTTGGGAGACAATCTTTCCTCAGGGGTACATTGGCTTTCCAGAAAACTTGGCCAAAAAGACAACAGGGCAGAATACAAAGAATGCTGAGCTTGCAGTTAGGAGAGCCCTGGGTTAGAATCCTGCTTCTGAAAACTACCAACTGTGAGACAATGGGTAAGTCACTTCAACTCTTTAAATCTCAGTTTCCCTATCTGTAAAAATGGAGCTAACAGTCATACTTGCCTCACAAGGTTGTTTTTTTGTTTGTGGTGAGGCACTCGGGGTTAAGTGACTTGGCCAGGGTCACACAGCTAATAAGTGTTTTGTGTCTGAGGCTGGATTTGAACTCAGGTCCTCCTGACTCTAGGGCTGGTGCTCTATCCACTACACCACCTGTACAAGGTTGTTTTGAGGATCAAATGAGAGAATCTCTCTCATGAACTTTACAAAACCTCAAAATGCAATATAAATGTCAGCTGTTGTTTTTGTTGTCCTGAGTATGAAATGAGATAATGCATGTCGAGCACATTGGGAAGACTTAATAAAACACTCTATAAATGTTAGCTGTTATTAGTTACATTGTTGTCCTTATTTTAAGATAATAAAGGAACTAATGCTTAATTTTTAAAAAATTTTTATAAGCATTTATTATTTCTCTCTCCCATTGCCTTCCTCATTGAACAATTTTTTTTAAAGTCCTCGAGACAAATATGCCTAATCTAGCAAAACACATTCCCACATTGGCTAAATCCAAAACTGTATGTCTTGTTTTCCATTTTATGCCTATCACCTCGCGAAATTGTAGAAAGTAAGTGGAGTGTTTTCACCTTTATTCTTCTGGGTTATCATTGGTGTATCCCCTGGTTTATCGTTGCATTGGTCAGAGTTCTAAAGTCTTTCAGAGCTGAGACTCACATTTTTAAAGAGGCTTTCCTTTCCTGGGCAAAGCCTGGGCTTCCTCTCCCCGCATTCCCCACCCCACCCCCTTCCCGGGTCGGACACAGTCCTGGGATGAGCTGAAGCCGTAGCTCGGCTTGCTGACTTCCTTGGTGGCCTTTTCCTCCCAATGTCAGGGAATCATGAGAAAGGAGGTGACCCCATGAGTCCGCCTCTCCCTGCCCACGCACACATGTCTGACTTAGACTGGAAAATACCCAGAGGGAAAGATTCCACAACCTCCCTGGGCAACTCGGTCCATTATCTCACAGGAAGTTTTCCTGAATATCTACCCTAAATCCCTCTCCTTACATTCCCTAGTCACCTGACCTCAGTGGGAATGGAGACCATCTGCTTTCTGCCATCAGTACAACACTGGTCAAAGGCCTTTTGTTTCTGCGCGCTGCTGAAAGTGCTGGGGACATGGTCCCAGAGGACTTCTGCAATAAAGAAAGATTTTAAAGACAAAATGGAAATCACTGAGACTAAATGAAACGGTAACTGTCACTGGCTTAACTGTGTGATTGCAGTCAAGTCACTTCTTTCTGATGCTCAGATTCGCCTTCATCTGCAAAATAATGGGGAAAGACTTCCAGATCTACTATGCTAAAGGTTTATAACTAAAAACAAAATCTGACATTTATGTACTACTTTAAGGTTTATGAACCACTCTACAGACACTTTGTCATGTGATTCGTTTAACAATCTTCTATAATTTGGACTTTAGCTCTTATTAGCTCCATTCTATAGATGAGAAACAGACTTGAGAAGGTGAAGTGGTCACACACAAACTAGGTGACAGAGCTACAGGATTTGAACCCAGGTCTTTCCTGACTCTAAGGCCAGGGCTTTTCAACTATAGATGAGGGGTTCTTAACTTTTTTATATGTCATGGACCCCTTTGACAGTTTGGTGAAATCTAGGTGGCAAAGTGGATAGAGTTCTGGGCCTGGAGTCAGGAAGACTAATCTTCCTGAATTCAAAAATGGCCTCAGACACTTACTAGCTGTGAGCCCCTGGGCAAATCACTGGACCCTGTTTGCCTCAGTTTCCTCATCTGTAAAATGAGCTAGGGAAGGAAATGGCAAACCACTCCAGTGTATATGCCAAGAAAACCCCAGAGAGTCAGACACAACTGAAAAATGACTAAACAAAACAACACAATGAACTCCTCATAGTTTTTAAGTGCATATGATAAAATACATGGGATTACAAAGGAAACCAATTCTATTACGACTATCAAAATATTTTTTAAACAACTTCACAGACCTCAGGTTAAGAATCCCAGCTTGTAAATGGTTTTACAGATCCCCATCACTTCTAAAAATCTGATATTCCCTAAAATATAGACTAAAGTAATATCATGTAGAAATGGATTCTTTTAGAGGTTGTGAAATTACAGCCTGTTAATTAGCTCCTGTATGCTCACACTGTGTAACTATACCTTTCACTACAATTTCCGAATTAGAGGAACACTGAATGTCCAGAATGTTGTTCTAGTTGGGCTGTATGTAAAGGAACATTTTATATATATATATATATATATATATATATATATATATATATATATATATATATATATATATATATATATATATATATATATATGTATAATATGTGTGTATGTATGTAAAATATGTATGTATATATATATGTGTAAAATATGTATGTATGTGTATATATGTTTATGTGTACACACATGTATGTATGTATGTGTGTGTGTATAAAGGAATTGTATATATGCATACAATTGTATATATATACACAATGTATATAAAGGAATGTGTGTGTATGTATATATATACATACACACACACATACACATATGTGTGTGTGTATATATATGTGTGTGTGTGTGTGTGTGTGTGTGTGTGTGTGTATAAAGGAACCAAGCCCAGTAACAAATATTCTCCACTACTGAAAATCTGGTGTTATTTTGCTGATTTGCTGGTAAGTTTAAACAAGCCTTCACATATTTGAATGCTGTTAGCAGCATGCTTGCCAATAGGCAGCCACAAAGTGGGCTAATTGATGTCTTGTTTCATTCTAGGTATTTAATGGGATACACCAGGGACCAGACTAAACCAGAGAAAAGAGCTCAGGAAGCTTACTGCTACCCCCATTGCCCAGAAGCACAGAATCTCAGAGCTGGAAGAGACCTCCAAGGCCTTTGCCTGAACAGGCATCCCTTCCACAAAATTCCTGACCAGTAGTCCTCCTTTCTGCCGCATCTTGGAGAGTTCTTTTATCCCTGCCCATACGCCTCACACAGAAAGGACCGTCGTTATCTGTGCTCCCTCCCTTCTACCGCTGACCTGGTGATCCAGCTTCTCCCTTCTGTCCTGGGCCTCCATTCTTCCCGTATGCTGTCTTCCCCTCGTAGAATGGCAGTTCTTTGAGGCCAGGGATCATCTTGCTCTTTTGGTGTTCAGTCATTTTTTCAGTTGTGTCCAACTCTTCATGACCCCATTTTGGGTTTTCTTGGCAGAGATGCTGAAGTGGTTTGCCATTTCCTTTTAGCACTTAGCAAAAGTGCCTGGCATATGTTAAGTGTGTAATAAATGTTTTCATTTTTCACTCACTCATTCATTCATTCATTCATTACAGTGAGAGAGAACTGACAAACTCCCAAGGCAGCCTGTTCCACTTTTTGACAATGCTAGTCGTTAGGAAGTTTTTCTTCCTGTAGAGCTGAAACATGTTTCTGGGCAGCTTATTATTTGTAGTTCTGACCCCGTGGCAGAATTATCTTCTCTTCTTGGTACTGATGCTGAGCTTTGCTCTAATCGGTCAGTTGACCATACTGACAGCTGATTCTGAAATGACTTGTTGTCGTTCACTTCTTTTAGTTGTATCTGACTCTCCATGGCCCCATTTGGGGTTTTCTTGGCAAAGATACTGGACTGGTTTGCCATTTCCTTCTCCAGCTCATTTTACAGATGAGGAAACTGAGGCAGACAGGGTTAAGTGATTTGCCCAGGGTCACACAGCTAGTATGTGTCTAAGGCCAGATTTGAACTCAGGAAGATGAGTCTTCCTAACTCCAGGCCCAACACTCTACCAATTGTACCACCTAGCTGACTTCTGAAGTTATTGTTGTGTCAGCAACTAGCTGTATCCTATCTGTTAAGAGTGTCAATTTCATTTTTGTGATGTCATTCAATTTGCACTATGTCTAGTACCAATTGAATATTTTTCTTTTTGTTTCAGAAAAAGCCTTTGTCCTTAAAGCATAGTCATTTCAATATTCCCATCCAGATTTAACCCTACCTTGTGCCTGAAAAAACTAATTAAGCAAAAACATCTAATATCACATCTGACAATGTGTGCAATATTTTGTCCTAGAACCCTTGGTTTTTTTTTTTAGGCAATTGGGGTTAAGTGACTTGCCAAGGGTCACACAGCTAGTAAGTGTCAACAGGTCCACCTGACTTCAGGGCCGTGCTCTATCCACTGCGCCACCTAGCTGCCCCAAGAACCCTCACTTTTCAACCAAAAAGAAGGGAATATGTTTTGTTATCTGTTCTCTGGGATCTCCACTGGGTCTTCACTTTTTCAGAATCTAACCTTTTGTTATATTTTATATTTTATTGTATTTTTATATTATATTTTCATTTACGTGGTTGTAGTCATTGGCCATTCAGGGGTGGGGAAACCTACATCTTTCTGTTGGCCTTGCTTTCCTTCTGCTTGACTTCGTACGAGTCTTCTCATATTTCTCTGCGTTCTTTATATTTGTCATACCGTGCTACATTCATATGCCATAGACTTTTATCTTTTGTTTTCTAACCATTTATCATCTAAGGGTGTCCATTTTACTTTCCATTATTTGCTGTCACAAAGAGGGATGCTATGGATGTATGGTGGTATATTAAATATTTTTCCCTATCTTTGACTTCCTTGGGGTACATGCTTATGGATGGAATCACTCATTTGCACAGTTTTGGGGGTTTTTTGTTTTGTTTTTTTTGCCTGTGAAGCAGACGGGGAGCCACTTCGTAGTTCCAGTGACAGTTTGGTTGTACCTGTGTTCCTATAGCTCCTCCAGTGATGACCATTCCAGTTTTTGTCATCTTTGCCAATTTGCGTAGAGTAAGAGAAAGCCTCAGAGTTGTTTTAATTAGCGTTGATCTGCTATTATTGATTTGGAGCCACTTTTCATGGGGTCATTTATAGTTTGTAATTCTTCTTTTGCAAACAATCCACACTCACTCTAGTGGGGAAGGACTCTGTTATATAGTTATTTCAATTCATTTGTTACGAATGCTTCCCCTACTCTTTAATTTCTCTTCTAAGTCTATCTTTATTGACTCTACTGGTGCAAACTCTTAAATCTATGTAGTCAAATTGATTATTTTATCTTTTTTTAAAAATTCTCTTCTTGAAGAATGAATTTATGTTGTATAGGAATGAAGCTTCTAAATAGTTTAGAAACCATTGGGTACTTTTATTCCTTGAACCTTAAAGCTATCGTTTTAAGCATAATCCTCCCCAAACTCCCCTGGCCACCTTTATATTGAAATCACCTGATATCAAGGTATATGTCAATCTACTTTGCATAGTAAGTATTTCAGAGAATTCAGTTATAAATAATGGACAATACATCATGGTCTCTTCATTCAGGGCCTGAGGATGACAACTAATTAAAGGTTAATGTATATGGCAATTGGGGTTTAGTGTGTAGAGGATAAAGAAGTGATTCCACCAAAGTCCTATCCTGATCAACCTTACTTTGGTGGAATGGTGACTTTATATGCCCAAAGTCCATATGTGTGGAGTGTATACTGATCAGGTCCTACTAAGCTTGAAAAGTTTCCCTATGATCTAGTGATGGACTGTGCATCCATTATCCAAGGACAAGAAACCTTTCATCAGGTTGATGGTACAGCAGTGTTTTGGTTTCTTTTTTTTTTTTGGTTGATCATAGCAACCCTCAAAATTAATCTACAAAGGTTACAGAGGACTGCAATCAGCATTGATGAAGAGAGTACCCATGCTCCAGAAATTACAGGTCCTCAGAGTATCTAAGTAATTAAAAAAAAGATAAGTCAGAAACAGAGGCTATGGATGAAGACAAATCATTTGAGGAGTTTGGCAGCACAAGAAGACACTAAACAGTTGCTAGAAAGGTTTTCCAGGAGAAGGGAGTACTGTGCCAAAATGAAGGGTTTTGTAAGATAAGGTAATCCTAAGCATATTTGGAGGAGGAAAGAAAGGACACATGGAAGATTCTCTAAAGAAATTGATTTTCTTTTAAAAATTAAAAAAAATTATTTCATTAAATATTTCCCAATTATATGTAGAAATAATTTTCAGAGCGAAATCTTAGGGAAGGGAGAGTGTACCTGTACATAAATTCAACCCAGTTGCTCCCAAAATTCTTAATCACACAAACAGAAGATTCTGTAATTATCTTTTTTTATATCATTAATAAATTATATTTTAAATTTATGGAATAAGACAAGCATTTCCATAACATATTACAATAAAAAAGATGAAACTGCAAATCTACTATGAAGAACTTGCTATTCATGTAAATTTATTTTTATCTTCCCTTCCCCTGCTCCTGCCCTAGAGAGGCTACATTACACAAATAGGTATATATGTGGAAAATTATTGTATACCTATTTCTATTTATCAGTTCTTTCTCTGGGTACAGATAATGTCTTTCTTCATATGTTCTTTATAGTTAATTTGGTTATTTATAATAGTCAAAATAACTTACTCAAAGTTGTTCTTAAAACAGTATTGCTGTTACTGTACACAATGTTTTCTTGCTTCTGCTTATTTTGCTCTGATTTCATGCAAATCTTTCCATGTTTTTTCTAAAGTTATTGAGCTCATTTCTTATAGCACAGTGGTATTCTATCACAATCATATACCACAACTTGTTCAGCCATTCCTCAGTTGATGGACATCACTGTAATTTCCAGTTCTTTGCCACCATAAAGAGAGCTGCTGTAAACAAATTAGAATATATAGGTTCTTTTCCTTTTTTCCCTAATTACCTTTGGAAATAGACCACATAGTGGTATTACTGGGTCTATTATAATGAAAATGAAGTCTTATCCCAAAATCTTAAGTCTTTACATTTGTCAAATAGAAGGTTATTATATTTATTTGCTGCTGTAAATTGTATGTCTACTCTTTTCCATTGATCTACCTTTCAATTTCTTTGCCAGTACGAGATAGTTTTTTTAATTAATTTATTTTGAATTATCAACAATTACTTCCATAAGCTTTTGAGTTTTAAATTTTTCTCTCCCTCCCCAAAACAGTATGCAATCTGATATAGCTATACATATTCATTCCTATTAAACATATTTTCACATTAGTGATGTTGTAAGTAAGAATTAGAACTAATAGGAGGAATCACCAGAAAAAGGAAACAAAACACAACAGAAGAAAAAAAAAAGCAAATAGTATGCATCAATCTGCATTCAGACTCCATAGTTTTTTCTTTGGATGTGGATAGCATTTTCCATCATAAAGCCTTTTGAGATGTCTCAGATCCTTGTGTTGCTGAGAAGGGTTAAGTCTATCAATATTTGTCATGGCACAACATGGCTGTTACTGTGTACAGCCTTCTTCTGGTTCTGCCCATTTCACTCGGCATCAGACCATACAAGTCTTTTCAGGTTTTTCTGAAGTCAGCCTGTTCATCATTTCTTATAGCACAATAGTATTCCATTACATTCATATACCACAACTTGTCTGGCCATTCCCCAATTGATGGGCATCCTCTCAATTTCCAATTCTTTGCCACCATGAAAAGAGCTGCTATGAATATTTTTGTACATATGGGTTCTTTTCCCATTTGTATGATCTCTTTGGGAAGTACCAGATAGTTTTGATAATTATTGTCTTATAATTGCTAGACCTCCTTCCTTTACTTTTTTTTCCATTATTTCCTTTGATATTCTTGACTTTTTCTTCTTCCAAATGAATTTTGTTATTATTGTTTTTCTAATTCAGTAAAATAAATTTTTGGTAATTTAATTGATATAGCATTGGATATATAAATTAGTTTGGGTAAAATTGTCATTTTTATTATACTGCCCCTGCCTACCCATGAACAATTAGTATTTCTCCAGTTATATAAATCTGATTTTATTTGTATAAAGTTTTTTTTACATATATATAATTTTGGTTATGTAGTTATTGGGTTTGTTTTGGCAGGTTCCTAGGTATTTTATACTGTCTAGAGAGTTATTTTAAATGGGATATCTTTTACTATCTCTTCTTGCAGAGTTTTGTTTGTGATGTATAGGAATGCGGTTGATTTATGTACTCTCCAGACTTCTTCCACAAACAGACAGAAAATTGACACAAAATGTTCTCAGAGAAGCAAAAATAAAGGGATAAAGCAGTTGTCCTCCTAAGACAACTTGAGAGGGCCTCAGAAAAGATGGGACCTCCAGGGGTGGAAGTTTGGCCAGAGTGAAGTTGTGGACACTTCCAGGTCAACTCCATTGAATCAACAAACAGCAAGCCCTA